AAATCGGAGACCCATTATGATCTGCCTCGAGGACAGTACAATTTCGATGACACTCAAGAAAGAGCGGGAATTTCTCAAGGACACGTGGATCAGGGCATAAATTAAGGGATAAGAATTGTACGGAATAGTACGAGTCCGTACTAGGTTGTTATACAGCTGTACCAATAGAATTCATTACCATAATTGGAAATGTACCATATTAGGGTTTTCCTCTTCTATATAAAGGGGACCCCAATCATCTGTAAAGATCATCTCATTCACTACAATAGAACATTATGTTCTGCTTTTCTCATTTACTGTGCTCCACGATTGTTCTTCAACTTTATTGTTTTTACTTTATTGTTTTTACTTTATTGTTCATACTTTATTCGCTCTTAGCTCACCTCAGGCTCCCGAGATAATCGAGCTCGAGGTCCCCGTTGCTCTAACAACATTGGTTTGGTTCATCAATTCTTCTTACTTAAACCGAATATTACTTGTATATTCACTAGTATTGGAATAAATCACATACCTTTAAAACCACAAATCACTTGTTACTCACATTTTTTAGGTAAACAGTTTGGCGCCCACCGTGGGGCTAAAGATAATAGTGATTATTTTAGTGCTAGTTTTCTTATAACACACGTTATTCTTCACACTTTTTCTTGTCAAAGATTCTTTGATTTCAGGCCAAGATATGTCTAGCTCAGCAAACGCACCTGTGCATGGAAACGACGGTCTCGGATCCCATGGGGAAAACAATGCAACAACTTCAAGGACCGGTGTGCCACCGCTAAACCCTGGGGTAGCACCAGCGCCAAACCCTGTTGATGTTGGTTCACACATTGCCGTAAAAGTCGATTTGGACACTGATGTCGAAGGAAGTGTACGCGGAGAGGATCCACCTGACGCTCAAAGGACATAGGATCAAGGAGAAAGAGAAGTTAGTCTACAAGTGATTTTTGAGATGTTGCAAGCACAACAAGTTGCTATCGCCCAGTTGCAGAGTCAGCAAAAGACTCCGAGCGTGGCTGGGCCATAAACCGCTTATCGTGTTGAGCCAACCCTGGAGAGATCAAGCAAAAACGGCTCGAGAACTGACCCTACCATCATGAGAATGCTCGAGGAACTCACGAAGAGGATCGAGTCAGGAGAAAAAAGGATTGAGGACAACGACAAAAAGGTGGAAACATACAATTCGAGGGTCGACCAAATACCGGGAGCACCTCCGATTTTGAAAGGACTGGACTCGAAGAAGTTCTTGCAAAAACCATTCCCCAGAGTGCAGCTCCGAAGCCCATCCTGAAAAAGTTTTGGATGCCAGACATCCCAAAATACAACGGGACCATTGATCCCAACGAGCACATCACCACATATACTTGTGGCATAAAAGGAAATGATTTGGAAGACGATGAGATTGAGTCCGCTTTGCTAAAAAAGTTTGGGGAACTCTGTCTAAGGGTGCCATGATTTGGTACCATAACTTACCCCCGAACTCTATTGATTCGTTTGCCATGTTGGCAGACTCATTTGTAAAGGCACATGTCGGTGCCATAAAAGTCACAACAAGGAAGTCCGATGTATTCAATAAAGCGAAAGGAGAACGAGATGCTAAGGGAATTTGTCTCCCGCTTCCAGTCAGAACAAATGGAGTTACCACCGGTCTCCGATGACTGGGCCGTACAAGCCTTCACTCAGGGGCTAAATGAACAAAGTTCGATAGCTTCGAAGCAGCTGAAGCAGAACTTGATCGAGTATCCCGCCGTGACCTGGGCGGATGTGCATAACAAGTACCAATCAAAAATTAGGGTCGAGGATAATTAGTTGGGAGCCCCCTCGGGCTTAGTTTATCCAAGCAGGTTACTAGCAAAGGAGTCAGGAAATGCAGACAGGGGTCAAGGCCGAATAAGGAAAGATATCAGCCATACGTCGAGGATCGAAGGAACATTTCAAGGCGTAAGATACCTCGGAATAATGAAGAGCAGATCGAGGTCAAAGTTCCCAAGAACTCATGAGAAAAACCGGGTTCGATAGTCAATTAGGACCGGTGGAGGCACCCCGATTATCGGAGTACAACTTCAATGTCGATGCCTCGGGTATCATCTCAGCCATTGGCAAAATTAGAGATACTAGATGGCCCAAGCCTATACAGACCGATCCTTCTCAGAGGAACCCAAATTCATGTGCAAGTATCATGGTACTCATAGGCATAGGACCGAGGATTGCAGGCACCTTAGAGAGGAGGTAGCCCGGTTGTCCAACGAGGGGCATCTTCGTGAATTTCTCAGCGACCAGGCCAAGAACCATTTCCGAGAAAGAGATGCAAACAAGAAGAATGAACCTGAAAAACCTCAACATGTCATTCACATGATCATCGATGGAGTCGACGTCCCACAGGACAGATATTCAAATATACCAAAGTATCCATCATAAGGGAGAAACGGACTCGGGACTACCTGCCCGAGGACACCCTCACTTTGAGCGAGGAAGACATCGAGGCCTTATCTCGGCCTCACAACGATGCACTGGTAATTTCTATCCTTTTAAATAACGTTCAAGTTAAACGTGTTCTCGTGGATCCAGGTAGTTCGGAAAATATAATCAGGTCAAGGGTCGTGGAGCAGCTCAATTGCTCGGTCAAATCATACCAGCATCTCGAGTCTTGAATGGCTTCAACATGGCAAGTGAAACAATGAAGGGAGAAATCATCCTCCCAATCAACGTGACCGGAACCATACAAGACACCAAATTTCATGTCGTCGAAGGTGACATGAGGTATAGTGCTTTGCTTGGAAGGCCGTGGATCCATAGCATGAGGGCGGTGCCATCGACCCTTCATCAAATGATGAAGTTCCCAACAAAGGATGACGTGAAAAAAGTATATGGAGAGCAACATGCAGCTAAGGAGATGTTTGCAGTACACGACTTGGCACCGATATCGACACCATCCATATCGGAAAAGTCAAAGGACAAACATGTGGCCAAATAGCAATCAAAGCCCATACCCTCGGTTGGGCCTGAGGGACACGTGATCGATGAACAGGTGGTCGAAGGCGAAGAAGAATAATTCCTCATCCCCCGAGCCTTCGTTGCCCCCGAGGAATCGGATGCGATGAGGTCCACGATCGAAGAACTCGAGCAGGCCGTATTGATCGATAATCTTCCAGAATGAAAGGTATACCTGGGGACGGGGTTAACCCCCGAACTCAGGAAAAAACTCATTCAATTTCTTATCAATAACATTGATTGCTTCGCCTGGTCCCACTTAGATATGACAGGGATCCCACCGGAGATAACTACTCGTCGACTAAGTGTCGATCCCAGATTTAAGCCGGTGAAGCAAAAGAGGAGACCTAAGTCTGAGGTAAAGCATGCATTCATCAAAGAATAGGTAACCAAACTTCTCAAGATAGGATCCATTAGGGAAGTAAAATATCCCGAATGGCTAGCTAACGTAGTGGTAATCCCTAAAAAGGGGAATAAACTTAGAATGTGTGTAGGCTGCAAAGATTTGAACAAAGCATTCCCTAAAGATTCTTTCCCATTTCCCACATCGATCGTTTGATCGATGCTACGGCCGGCCACGAGATCCTTACTTTTCTCGATGCCTACTCCGGGTACAACCAAATTCAAATGAACCCGGAGGACCAGGAAATGACTTCGTTCATCACGAAGTATGGTACGTATTGTTATAATGTAATGCCCTTCGGGCTAAAAATATAGGAGCCACATATCAACGCCTAGTTAATAAGATGTTCGAACATCAAATAGGCAATGCCATGGAGGTTTATATTGATGACCTGCTAGTTAAGTCCCTGCGCACCGAGGACCATTTGGCCCATTTGCAGGTGACGTTCGATATCCTAAGAAAGTACAACATGAAGCTCAACCCCGAGAAATGCGCTTTTGGAGTTGGCTCGGGCAAGTTCTTGGGCTTCATGGTGTCGAACAGGGGTATCGAGATCAACCCCGATAAAATCAAAGCCATCAAGGAAATCACCATAGTGAACAATGTGAAAGCCGTACAACGGCTGACCGGATGGATAACTTCCCTAGGCTGATTTATCTCGAGGTCATCAGATCGGAGCCATCATTTCTTTTCCCTACTCAAGAAGAAGAAAAACTTCGCATGGACTCCAGAGTGCCAACAAGCCTTGGAAGAATTAAAACGGTATCTCTCGATCTCACCCCTGCTCCATACTCCGAAGGAGGATGAAACACTCTACTTGTATTTAGCCGTGTCCGAGGTGGCGGTAAGTGGCGTGTTGGTTCGAGAAGAGCAAGGTACGCAATTTCCTGTCTATTATGTGAGTCGGACCCAGGAGATGCCGAAACCAGGAACCCACATTTAGAAAAGTTAGCTCTTGCATTAAAAGCGCATCTAGAAAATTAAAATTTCCTTATATTTTTAGGAACCCACATTCCTATAGGTTTAGGAAAACCCATTGTCCTAATAGATTTGGGAAAGGAAAACATATAGTCCTTGTTAAATTGAGAAACCTTTCTCTTAGATGTTAGGGACCTTTTGGGATTTATATATAGGGGTCGTAGTTGGGGATCTTAGAGATTGTACTGTGCTTTTCTTCTCATTCATAGTGGAAAACTCTCTCTGTTTTTGCCCCGAGAATTAGGCTTAGTCGAACCTCGTAAAATTCTTGTGTTGATTTTTCTTCTCTATTTGTTTTGTATGTGATTGTGTGCTAGTTAACCCACGATATTCCGCAACACTAAAATTCAGCTATAAAGCTCGACTCCAGTCGTCTATATCTGAAGTTCAAACAAAGTTTATATATGAAGTTCAAACAAAAATGACTTAAGTTTGCTTGCACAAGAAATATGTTAGACTTACAAAATTTGCAACTTCATACAAGGAATTTTGCAACTTAAGTCACGTGTCTAAATTGATTCTAAAGAGGCTAAACATGCAAAAATATACTCCCTATAGCAGGGGTACCAAAATAGGGCTATCTGTGCACTTCCCTATTGCAGCCCATTGAATACTAGCTTTAACATTAAGCTGCTCACTGGCAACTCTATACGTCCTCGGAGAGAGAAAGAGAGAGAGAGAGAGATGAAGGCAAGTCTAGAAGGAGAGAAGGTGACTCTGGTACCTTACATGAGAGAGCATGTCCCAAAGTATCATGAATGGATGCAAGACCCTTTTCTCCTCCAAGCTACTGGTTCCGAACCCCTCTCCCTTGATCAAGAATATGAAATGCAACTCTCTTGGACCCAAGACCCCTTAAGTATGTATGCCTTCCATTTTTTAATTGAAATTTCACCTTCTAATGTTACTCTATGTTTGAGAGATAGTTACCCTTTTGATTATTGCTGAAGAAAAAAGCTATCTTTGCCCTGAATTACTGTTTCTTTAGTTACCCTTTTGATTATTACTGGAAAAAGAGCTATCTTTGCCTTAATTACTGTTTCTTTTGTTGAATCAAGAGTATGATATGCGGCTTTCTGTTTCTGATTGAAATTTCACCTCCCATGTATCTTTGTAGATTTTTTCTTTTGGGTTTCTAAAATTAAAGTGCTAATCTTTAACGTTTTGGAGGGTAATCTGATGCTGACAGATAGTGTCTTCTCATGTATTGTTGAAGAAAAAAACTATCTTTCCCTGAAGTACTGTTTCTGATAACGAAAAAATCCCAAAGGGCTAGTGGCATGCAGTTTGGAACTCGACCGATAATAGGGTTGATCCTTTATCCTTCTCCGCTTAAATACGAGGCTTTTTACCTGCGGCAGTGTTCGAACCCATGGCGAGGGTGCACCACACATCTCGTGCGGTGCTCTTACCACTAGACTAACCTTAAGTATGGCTTTCATTTCTATTTCTGAATGAAATTTAACCTTCTGTGTTTCTTTGTTTCCTTTTTGGTTCCAAAAATAGAAACTGAGATCTTTTAACGTTTTGGAAAGTATTAATGCAGAGAGACATTGAATCCTTTTTATATTAGTAACGAAAAACCTGAATTATTTTATGAAATTTTTGCTACAAGGCACCTGAATCACCATTTCTTGTTGAATTGTGGAAAAATGCAATGTCAGGACCAATTATAAGTTTGATTTATAGATTAGCTTGCTGACCTTGTACTCTTAGTCGGATGGTAGATTTAAGTGGTAAATCATTCCTGAACTGGGCTTTTCTTGGCTTTTGATTGGGACAGGAAGGACTAAATAGTGATGTTCTGGAAATTAATGGTTTTTAGTATATTTCTTCATGTGGTTCTTACAAATTTTATTGGAAATGCTTTTTTAATGGCAGAGCAGACTTTCATCATATTGGACAGGGAACTAATTGTTGGAAAATTCATCCATGGAGAACCTCATGTTGAAGGTCGCATTTCTCATTTTAGTTCTCAACTATCTCGAGTTTGATCTCTCCATGTAGCTTTATTTCAACGTTAATGTTACCTTGGTTTTACCTATGATCTTTGATCAGCACGGAACCTATAGTAGTTTACTATGTATGCTCATACAAAGGTATGAAACTCTTACGATTAGGATCTGAATTTTTCTGCGACTAGTTAACTTATGTTTTTTCTTCGTATTTTCTTATTGGTTTTTGCAATTGTTTGTTTTTCAATTTTTTTTATTGAGTAGCTTCAATAATATTTTAGCAAGTGGAAAGAGTGGGGGTTGACTGTATGCGCACCCGATTCCAAGTTGATATCCATATGGGGAAGTTAGTTTTGAGCAAAAACCATGTTAATTGAGATATAGGGAAATTGCTGCTGGTTCCAATTGGTTGTCCAAAAATGATTGCTAGTGTGAGGAAACCTGGTTTATTGCAGATTGATATGTGATTCTTAATTGTGACCATATTTCTTTTTGACAGCCATGGTCGGTGATGTGAACATATACGTGAATGACTTGGATGATCCCCAAATGGCTGAAGTCGAGATCATGATAGCTGAACCAAAGAGGTATACATGCTTCCATATTCCCGTTTTACTTGACTTTTTAATGTCATGTCACTAGTTGATCAGTTCGTTAGAAAAACCTTTTTCTTTTGAGAACATTAGATTGCTATTTATTGTTGTGATTTTGGAGTGAAAATTGGTCTATCTTCACCAGTTAGGATTAGGACGAAGAACCATTACAGGGTTAGCCTATTGGGTTTTTCCTAGCCTCTGTCCTAGGACTCTCTGTTCTTTGATTGAGGGAGAACTGCACAATTCATTGCATGAAATTTTCTTGTGACTTTTGAGCATAGAAAATGTATGAAGTGGATGTAAGAAGCTAGAATGCCTTTTTAGTGTTTCTGGGCCTCTGGCTAATAGTTCTTACTTTCGGGCTGACGCTGGATTCTCAAGTGCATCAGAGGTTCACTAGTTCGGCTTGTTATCTTTTCTTTTCTAGAGCATTTCCACTTCATCCTTTCGCAAGCACACCAGTTTCCTGTTTCATCTGTAATTTATGAAGCGGCTGAAATCTGTATTGCTTTTTCTGATTCTGAAACTTCTTGCTGATAGCTCAAAGACTGAATCACCACTACTAGAATTTCATTTCTTTAGAAATCCATGAGAAACTATTTGCGTATCTCTATTTTTTTTTTCTGGCCCCAGCACAAGTTACGTGTATGATTATTTTGTTGCTTCTTATTGATAGTTCATCATTTATATCCTTCTTATATGTGACTGTTTTGTTATTAAGATTTTAACGCATGCTTCCAGATGTTTCTTAAAATCATTAGATGACATTGACATGTTAACCTTTAACAGTAATCTCTGTCAATGATATATATCTCATACTCCCGTTTTTGTTTCAAGTTTGATGTATTTCTCATACTTCTGTGCATGTCACAAGTTCGTTTCGATATATTTGTTTGTATGTTGTCAATGTCCCTACAGATTTTTGTATTTCACTGACTAATTTTCAATTTCTTATGGTGCTTTTGCTAGTATAGTCGTGGCAAAGGGCTTGGGAAGGAATCTGTTCTCATGATGATGGCATTTGCTGTTGATAATTTCAAGATACATACCTTCCGCGTCAAAATTGGAGAGCTAAATCAAGCCTCTCTCGGTCTATTCCAAAAATTGGTATCTCTCTATAAACCCCAACATGCACATCAATGTGATCCTTTTACATGTAAACTTTGTTAAAAAAGAACATGTAAAATTTAGATGTACAGAGCTGACAGTCTGACAAGAAACCTCAAATGCTATTGCAGGGTTTCAAGGAAACCTCTTACAGTAAAATCTTCAACGAGGTGAGTGGAGAGTTCTCTTTTCATTTTCTCAGTATTGAATTGATGGCCGATCTGGAGACGTCCTCGGGCCTTTATGGGTTAAATACTCCTCAAATGAGAGTTCAATGGATGAAATCTTAACACCTTTGTGCAAAATTTACGTCTAAGTTGGTAAAGGGAATTCAGGCTTTGTAAATCTTATGCTTGTCAACTTAGTCCAAAAAGGAGGCTTAATTAAAGTCTCCTTTTAGCCAAGTTGCCCTCTTGTTCTTTTGGCTTATTCAGTTGAGTTGTTGACATCTAACTTTAAAATATTTTGTGCAGATGACATTGGAGTTGCCAATGACCGAGTCAAAGATTTGTGAGTTACATCAATTAATTGGCAATATGGTTACACATTCATAGCACCCGAAGACACCTTGTGTGTGTGCTGATGACATAGTCAATGTGCGGTGAGCTGCATCGGTTAATTGACAACATGTTTATACGTTCATATTACCCAGATAAACCATCCCCTTCAGTCTTGAGGGTGTTGAGTATATTATTGGATGATTAGTTTCATCCAAAGATTGTTGAATCAACGTTTGCGACTTCTACTGATTTTTCACTAGTTAATCTTATCCCGGTGTTCCTCCCGGTTATATTTTTTTGGAAAGTCACCTTGACATATGATAAATTGAAAACCCCAAATGTTAGAATGTGGACTAGTTTGTGTCTGCCTTGTGTTTAAACAAACAATAGTTAGATGACAGAAAGCATGAGCAGAGTCGGATGATTATAGAGATGACCTTTTTATGCTTGGAAAATAGCCGCAACTTCTTTCACGGTAATTTGCGTGAAACTTTTATTTGGACCTGATCTAAATTAGTGGATGAAACCAAAAGATGACTATTTATTCATTTCTTTGATAAGTCAAAAAAACAAAGATGACTATTTTTTCTCAGGCAGTTGTCTTTAAACTGTCAAAAAATCTATTTTGCCAAATGAGTGAAGGTGTGGGGATGATAATGAGTGCATCTGAGGGATGTTACTTGAGACTGAGCTTCCAGCTTGCCACACATGATTTACTGTGGTTCCATTATCCAGTGGCCCTATAGTCGCGAAGATAATCATCTCACTGTTCGAGTATTCTGCAGATAAATATGAAACTTGAAAGCTAAGATTTGCTTTCAGCATTGATGGACTGTAACTTGTTATTTGTGTTGTATAAGCTATTGTGCTGCCATTTGAGTTGTGGAAAGCAACTAATGCTTGTGATCCGATCATGCCTTGTCCAGTAGGGTTGATAGCCCACGCTACCCAACTCGTAGAATCTTGTTTAGCTCTATATGCAATTGAAACTTTTGTGCTGGGGAAATTGTAGTTCCAGTGCAAGTAGGCTTCTAAATATGGAAGTTTTTTGCAAGAGGTGAATGTTCTATTGGCTGTGAAAGTGTAGTTTGAACAGTTTTGAGCAGAGGTAACAACAAAAAGTGAAGCAAGAAGGCTAAATAGCAGTACTGGTGTTGAGCTTGGTGCCATGATGCTAAATTATTTTCTTTCCCTGAGCTAAAAATAAACTTAAGGAAAGCAGTGTAAAGCCAATTGGGCCGCACTTTTGAGGACTCAATATGAAACAGAAAGGCGTTCCTTTCCGGAAACTAGGACTGATGCCAGTAATAGAAAGTGCTGAGGATGTTGACAAGTATTTTTTATACTCCTAATGTGTCTCAAAAGAACACCTAAGATAAATCAGGTAGAAAATGGGATGCAAGATAAATCATAGCAACAGAGGAGAATTAAGTAATGAGTTACTTGACTAATTCAGGTGGTGCCATTTCAAAAAAGTGAATTTTCATTACCTAGTTTTTATACAACACTCTGTTCTTTAACATTGTTATCTTCAATGTTTGTGTTTCGTTTTTATCAAACCCCCAATCCATCTACTTAGTTTTTATCCAACAATCAGTCTTTAGCCGTTTTGTCTTCAATGTTTGTGTTCGTTTTTCATCGAAACAATTAGGGAACTTAGATACCCCTTCTGCCTTGGAAATTTATAATTTATAATTAGGGCTTAAATGAGTAGGGGAAGCATTTGTGTTCTTCCTTGTGATTTTTTAAAAAATATACTAATTTAATTTACAAAACTCTGCCGTTCCCCAAATAAACTTAGAAGTTGCTAATACAAAGGTTCGCTATGAAACACAAAGAAGAAGAAAAAGAGTTTGCAAGAGGATTTCTAGCGAGGGATGACTTTTAGAAGTTATGGTCGAAGTGTTTCCATAATCTAGAATAGGAGTGGCATACGGGCGGGTCGGGTTGGGTTGGATATGGTTCGGGTCAAAAACGGGTAATGAAAACGGATCAATTATCCGTCCCGACATATTTAAGGGATTTTTTCTTATCTATACCATATATGAAACTTTATTACCAAAAATGTGCATAATTTCTAAATTACTCGCCCAGTCCACATTATTTCTACAGTTTTTGTACCAATCATTAAAAGTTAATTAATAGCAGTTGTATCTTCCTATTTATACGAGCTAAATTTTAGGAGAAGAATATTCTGAACAGATTTGGCGTGAATATTCTGAACAGATTTAGGAGAAGAATATTGAAACGGAAAGGAGATTTCTGTTTTTCATCTTCATCTGTTCTTCCATATATTTTCCACCATTGATAGCCATTAAAAAGCTTGAAAGCTTTGAATTCAAATTTGGGTTTTCAAAAATCATTATTTGTTTGGATTGGGTGTTGTTGTAAATAATTCGGAATATGTTTAGGAGTTTATATCTCAATTTTGAGGGGTTTTGGCGAAGATTATACTTGGTTTTGACTGAATTTCAGATTAAAACTCGAAGAAGAAGAAGAAGAAGAAGAAGAAGAAGAAGAAGAAGAAGAAGAAGAAGACATATTTCCAGAAATTGTAGATAAATTGTAGTTAAATTGTAGAATTGTAGATAAATTGTAGATAAATTGTAGATAATGTAGATTGGGAAGACTAAAACTTCTACAAATCTTCTACAGTTATGTCAAAAATGCCAATTATGCTACAATTGAAATGGGAATTGGGATATTAAAATTCAATGTATTCATTTTGTAGATATTTTCACAAATCCAAAACGACTAAAGCTTCTACAAAATCTTCTGAAAAAACAGTCTACACTTTATCTACAATTTTTCTAATTTTTCTACAATTTATCTATAATTTATCTACAATTTCTGGAAAATATGTTTCTTCTTCTTCTTTCGAGTTTCAATCGGACTGTGTTAACCAGTAACCTTCAGCCACTGCCAAAAAAAAAAAAAAAAAAAAAAGAGGTCAATGAAAATAACAATACATTGATGTTTTGAACGTGTAAATAGAGAATTGGTAAATAAGAACTAATATGAAGATACGGTCGCTAAGTTAAGATTTTTGGGGAAGTAAATGAGAAACTAATATGAAGATTATTGATGTTACTGTCCATCTCCAAAAGGGGGGGGGAGTTGGGAGAGACGGGTAAAGATAAATGTGGGAAGATACGGTCCTAAATTAGCGCCTAATATAAATGCACTCCTAATATATCCCTAATTTGAATTATGGTATATAAATGTAATTTTGGTATGCTGAAATGTAATTAACACAAACCTTAAACATTGAGGGTAATTAAGGTTTCATATATGGTATAGGAAGGTAAAAATCCCCATATTTAATACGGATAAAAAACAGGTTAGCCGCGGGATAATATGGGTAACCATATTATCCATGACTTCTTGCATATGATTCACTTTTGGGAAAGTTATTAGTCTCCCTAACTTAAGGAATCCCAATTTGAGGCTTTAAAATGTAAAAGTTAGACCCATTGGTTACCCATTGGCGGTGCATTTTCATCTATACCCGCTTTTTGGGTCACGTTTTAACTTGTGCCGCTTTGCAAAAAAAATTACAAGCGTACCCATTTTTTCGCGTAACTTTCAGCATACGGGGCTTGAAGTAGCAAAGCCAATCACGGCAAACTTCAGCATTCTAGTAGACGGGCCTGAAGTAGCAAAAATTGCTGAACTAAGTGTGTTGAAGTTTTTGTTTGTAATTGCTGAACTTAAGCATTCTAGTGCTGAAGTTTTGTTCTCTATTTGCTGAAGTTTTTATTTGTAATTGCTGAACTTAAGCACTGTAGTAGCTGAAATTTTATGATGCTTAGGTTATTTAGTTCATTTGTAAAACCTTCAGCACTAAATAAGCTGAAGTTTTTTTGTCCTGGATTCATTAGTTTTGTCATTAAGCTTTTTCAAAAACTTCAGCAGAAGATGCTGAAGTTACTTAGTTCATTTGTAAAAACTTCAGCACTAAATAAGCTAAAGTTTCTTTTGTCCTGGATTCATTAGTTTTGTCATAAAGCTTTTCAAAAACTTCAGCAGAAGATGCTGAAGTTATTAGTTCATTTGTAAAACTTCAGCACTAATAAGCTGAAGTTTTTTGTCCTGGATTCATTAGTTTGTCATAAAGCTTGTTCAAAAACTTCAGCAGAAGATGCTGAAGTTATTTAGTTCATTTGTAAAAACTTCAGCACTAAATAAGCTGAAGTTTTTTTTTGTCCTGGATTCATTAGTTTTGTTATAATGAGACTACTATAAAATAATCAGATTGCCAACAGTATCTAAATCATAAATTTTGGAAATAAATAAACGTGAAAAGAACAGAATTATCATGAAAAGAATCAGTAAGTGTGACCTTAAACTTCCCATACGTGGAAATATTCACAAATTATTATCTACTAACTTACGTAATTATTTATACTTTATTTTTAAATAATATGATAAACATACTTATGGCAATCATCCCATGAACTGAAGTTTCATAGCAGCACCAACAATATAGTATAATTATATATATATATTATATAATATATATATATATATATATATATATATATATATATATATTACTGTCATATGTTAATGATAGAGGTAGTGTGGTGATTGATCTCAATGCCAGTAAAGGTTAATTTTAAGTGTTAAAAATTCTTTACACCATTAGTACCTTATATGCCAAATAATGGTGTTATGAGATTGAAGTTGTCTTAATTCGACTTTTTATTCTTTTGATTTGGTTTGAGCTACATTTAAAACGACAAGTTTCTTGCATGTGAGAGATCTGGCGGAGTTTTCTTTTCTTTTCTTCCTCCAACGAGAAAACAATAATTGATAGTAAGCACAAATTACTTTTTCTTATCTAGAAGAATCAAGTTTGAAAGACATTAATCATAAGAGAATCAAGAAAACTAGGGAACACATGAATCTCCTGTGCGTGCCAGTGGCATAAGTAAACTAATTTTTTAGACAATTTTAAAAAACACATGTGACTTACTATTATTTAATACTACTATAATTGAAGATATTATTGAAACATTCTGATAAGAAAGGCCAACCATTTTCTCCCATTTTCTTCTTCACCTTAGCCCCCATATATAATAAAAAATTACTAAAAAACAAACTAATTGTAATAATAATTCATGTAATACAAAGTTATTAATACATATTTAAGTTAAAAATTTATCCCCCCCCCCCTCTCGGTGTTCCACATGTTAGTAATGAACCACATTGATTTTTGGCCGCTAATCTGTAATTAGGTTCCCTTAGTAACTTTGTCGAAAATTTTTATGAGGAACCCTACGAATTTATCCGTTAAAGTTAAAATCAATCCTCGCTATATGTGATTATTATCAGGCCTAACTTGGGTGAAGCTGCACAAATAGCCTATTTGCACAACGCCATATTAGTCATTTTAAAAAAATATTAACTTTCTGGCCACTTATCATTGAGGCTGATATTTGGACTGCTGTTTAGCTAACTTCAGTCCATGGGGACTGGGGAGAAGTTGAGGTATGCAGTTTTCAAGTTCAACTTTCAGGACCAAAACTACAAGTTGAGGCCAACTTCAATCTTCTTGTTAATGTTATCCTCCACTTCAGCTCTTTTTGTTCTGGATGTTAGAGCCCACTTCGTTCGGAGAGACATGAACTTAAATGGCATTGTCTGCAAAACTTTAAAAAGTGATCACACTTTAAATGGCACTGTGCACAAGACTGTCCTCTGATAATTTTAGGGCAAAATCACTTTTCACTCTTCGACCAAAAACTATTTATATTCGAATAGCTGTAAAGTTTATAATAAATTATTATTTTTGTACATTAATATACAGAAAATATTTGTAACAAAATATATATTTTTCCGATTATATTTCGAGAAGCGGACTATACAGTGTTATTCTCCATATTACGTCTAATTTGTCGGGGCTTTGCATCTATACCCGTTTTGAGTCACCATTTAAAACTTATACCCGCTTTGCGCAAAAAAAATTGCAAGGAGTACCACTTTTCGGGACTTCAGACATACGGGCCTGGAGTTAGTAAAATTTATGTCTGGAGTTTTGAAACTTCAGAATTGTTTTTGCCTGAAGTGTTAGCTTATCAAAGCAAAACTTCAAGATATTCTTGCCTCAAGTTTTGGCCTTGACTGGCAAAGCCAATCACGACAAACTTTCAGTTCATAGTGCAAAGGGCAACTGTCAGATTCAATTGTGTTATGTCTGAAGTTTTGAACTTTCAGAATTTTTTTGCCTTGAAGTGTTAGCCTTTATCAAAGCAAAACATTCAGATATTTTGCTTCAAGTTTTGACCTGGACTTGCAAAGGCAATCAGGACAAACTTTCAGTTCATTAGCAAGGGCAAACTTCAATTCAATTGTGTTATGTCTGAAGTTTGAACTTGAGATTTTTTTCGCCGGAAGTGTGGCCTTATATAAAGCAAAAACTTCAAAATATTTCCACTTTGAAGTTTGGCCTAAACTTGCAAAGGTAATTGGGACAACTTTCACTCCATAGTTGCAAACTTGTAGGAACCAAATTTGTCTGAAAGTTCTTCAATTTGTTAGTGCAAACTTCAGGACAAAATCAACTTTTATATTTTTAACTTCAGATAGTGCAAACTTTCAGATTAACTTTTGTGCAAAATTTCCACATCAGTGGTGTTGAGAACAAATTGGAAAGAGAAATTATTCTTGTTTAAGTTAAAACTGTAAAATAATTTTAGTTAAAGTTCAGGATTCTACCAAG